AAAAAGATCTAGTGACAATGATAGTAGTAACGATAAGATAATAAGGGATGAATAATTTTTCAAAAAATTATAAGATATTTTAATTAATTTTAAACGTATTTTACAACCTTCCTTCACCATAGCCTTTTCTGTCAGACTCATCTATGGCTAATAAAAATTAAAATAACTCCGGACACCGTTTCTAAGAAGAAGGGGTATTGGGTTCTTCCAAAGAAAATAACAGTACAGCGACTCGTGTTTATTAATAGAATTACACGTTTTTATACATTTCTCTTGTAGCTCGTAATATTTGTTCACACATGTACACCACGCGTGGTATTCCTTTTGAATATTGATTTACAACCGAACTTTTGGGAAATCACGTAAAACCGTTCTCGTCTCCTCTGTAAGGAACATCTGTTTTACCAAAGCGTTGACATAACCCAGAACAAAATGTCAATGATGTTCCAAGCACCTTGAAAAAAAAAAAAAATATCACCACCACCGACCGTATCACGCAACACCATACAGTAAGCAGTCACCACCAACACCATACGAACTGATAAAATAATCGGACCGGTACCAAGTCGATCTCATCGCATTGTATATTATTATTATTATTTTTTAATGGAAAATAAGTATAAGGCACTAATTGCAGTTCCTAATACTATGGTCCATAGAGTCAATCCCATAAGTACATCTCGAACAAAGGAGACAAGTACCCATTCTTAATCAGTCAACCTAACAAGAAGATTATGACATTTTTGCGTCTGTCTTTACCAATGAATTAAGGTCGACCCTTCCTACATCTCGATTCTCATCTGTCCCTCCTCCCTTCTGACCCCCTCGGTGTCTATCACGGTGGGCATTATCTGTTGGTAATCTGATCAAGTCGCGAGACTCGGGGACCGACAATCGCGTTATGAGACGAGTCGGCCTAGAGATAAAGCCCATCAGACACGGCAAAGGACCGCCTCCTCTACGAGTCACCTAAAAGTGAGACATCCTTCGAACGTTACGGACAGGCGAGAGACTTTTCTCTATGGAAGACCAGTTGATTCTTTTTTTTTTTTCTTTTTCATTGTGACGATTCTGACATTTCGAGTATCGCGTCATATTTACAGAACGCTTTTATGGGATTTACCGTTAGCTGCAGTTTCAGATAAATGGATGTATTGTTAAGTGGCAAGTACTACTGTGATTCGCTGACATTTTAATTGGTGTTATTGGCTGGTACAGACGGTTTGGCATCGCGGGATCGTTTCTATAGTAACAACAGAGAGGTTAGATTTTGAAATTTAAAAAACATTGAATTTTTTTACTCTTTCAAAACGAAAAAAAAAGTGATACGGTTATTTTTAAAGGGAAACGGGATTGTGTCAGATGCGATATATATCTGTATGAGAAACGGATTGAGATGAGCACTTGAGGGCAATAAGAAAACAAATTAAACGCTTGTTAAGAAAATAAACTCAGAACCACAGATACGCTTTCGACGAATGCGCACGGAGTAATGCTGTAATAAACGAGAAACGATAAACAGAGAGCGTGAATCTCGATGAAATAATGGATTGTGAATGACTGTAGAATCTTGAAGGTGAAGTGTTTCAACCTCAGAAACGGATGTGAGATATATTGTACCCACCACGTTTCCGGCATCTGTTTCACGGTCAGGTCGTATCTTGGAAAATCCGGTATCTATTTTCAATCGAAAATATCTCGGGGTTGTTTTTGACGAAAAAAAAGTCGCCGCTTTAGAAAATAATTTATTGGCTGTTGGAGAACATTAAATTTCTTACTGATCGAGGAAGTTATCAATCCCACGTGACTGCAGGTTTTTTTCGACGTACAAAAGATTCTTGGACGATAAAACAAGATGGCGTAAACAATTGACAATGTGCGTTCCCTTAATGTCGGTACCGACTACGCTACAGGATCGGTTAGAAACGAGTCGGGCCACCGAGTGAGTTTTACGAGCGGCTGTTTATTCGATAGGGACGCGTTTCTAACGCTCGCCAGATATGCCCTACGAGCATAGGACGACATAAAACAGACTACGCCACGAGAACCGTTTATGGGCGAGATCCTTTATTTAACAACCTGTCACCCCTCAAAAATCTATTCGAGTTTTTTTCGATATTTCAGCTTTCCCGAAAAATCATCCGCCATTAATTCACACCGATCGTATGGATATATCGAGGCAGGCGCATATATCCACTCAATGTGAACTGAGCTTCGATGCTGCTCACAGGACAATGGAAATACAGGTTGGGTTTTATTGCTTGGCAAATCGACCACAGATTTGGTGGTACGTTACGAACTTCAATAAATTCTTCTACATATAGGTATTAAAGGATCGTCTATCCCTATCTACCGTGCGACACTGTACAACGCGATAGGGGCTTCTGGAAATTCGTTTTCAGAACGGCCATTTTTTGTCTGCACCACAATTCCTAGTAATGGTCCAATAGCGTCGAGTTCCTTCGCTCTGAGTGATACGATCCAGAAAACTTGGTGCTTTTGTGGGTGGAGAAGCTGGAACGAAGAAGTCAGGCAGGCTGAGACGGGCAAAGCGAAGCGAAGATGCTGCGCTTAATGCAAGTCCAGGACCGACAGAGGAACCGTGAAAAATGATTACACGGTCATTAATTACCGAATGTGACCGCCCTCCTTAAGATAGTGGTTCTCAATACTTGTAAATTCTTACAGTTTCTCATAGCCGAGCGTCTTGATTGCAAATTAGGGTTTACGGTGCGTTTCGAAATTTTCTTATGTTTTCTTATAGGAGCAAAGCACGTGATGAAATTTCAATGAAGCAAAGCTGAAGGTAATAATATCACGCCTTTCCTCAGCATGGTTTATATTTCTTTACAGTGACGAAGTTTCCGAGACAGTTTGGAATGTTTTACTGGAATTGCAAATATTAAATCGGATCGTTAATTTTTATTTATAAACATACCGTTATTCATACTGGTATTTATCTGCATACGTCTTTGCGTCGTGGCTTCGGATGTACAATGATATCCACCATTTACTTACCATAGGATTTGAAGCGGGTTCAAATGCGGTTTGAGAACGGTCTCCGGTGTAAACAGGTTTTTAAGCAAGTGGCTCGATATTCGTTCTACAACGGTATAGAATAAAAAGAATACGGGCTAACTTGATATCTGGATCATGCGTTTATGATAATATACTTCGGTCAGCTCGTTAATAACCGACTGACTTATTCCGCGTTCAACAATAAGAACATAAATATTACATACATATGCATTATGTAGAAGATATTTTTCGTGAATTCTACTATGTACCACATGGAATATTTTTAAGCAGCGAATACTCTCTCATTGTATAATTGAACTTTCGTGATAAATGCATAGGAATTTATATTAAAAATATTAAAAATTATCAATTAATCATTATCGCACGTGATGTACGTAAGCATTATAGTGCATTTTATGACGCTGTTTTATTGGCTTTTATTATGCGTTCGATATCGATTCCACATTAATCAAAGACTTTCGAGATACATATACAATATGTATAGGTATATCGATGCCATTGTATCGGAACTGTTCTTGTTTTCTTACTTCCTTTTGAGAACCACTGTACAGTCGCCGCTTCGCAAGGAAGAAAGAGACTTGAGACATCGCAGGCAAGCAGATGAGCAGATTGCTCTCATTATCCCTCAGCATCCTGAACTTCTCTCCGAGCCGGCACTCTGTCTTCCCATTATCTACCTTACTCTCTCCTGCAGCCTGCCACTTGCGCGTAACAATGAGAAAACAGAAGGCGGAGTGTCGATGCTGTTTAATTGACATTTTCAACGATAGACTGACACATTGCTGCTCGTGTAACGTCATACTTATTAAGAAGGACTGGAGATCCTAAACCTATTGGGAGAACAAGTACATACCGGATGTAGAAACGTGACGTAAATTGAAATCGGTGTACCGCTTTGAAGTAGTTCTATAAATTTCATCCGTCCTACTTATGGTAAATTTTGTTCCTTGTGATTTTTCACGACTCGCTTTACGGAAAATTGATTAGACGGTCTAGCCGGGTACCGGCTGGGATGAGTAAAGTCATGAGAACAATATGGTAATATATCAACTTTCTGGCATCCTGTCTTCTGCCGGCTGACAGTGCATTGTGCTTTTAAATGAAACGGTAGAATAAATATTACGCTTGATACCGCGCAATCGGTTCCATCGTGACCATCAGGTGCCAACAGGTAGATTCTTGGTATGGGATTCTACGGTGACGGTTATGGGGTGGAGTTGAGTTGGGGTATGTGCGATACGGGCCAACGGCTGCGGGAGGTAATGCCAAATCAGAGTACCGCGTGAAACCCCGTCCCATAAATTGTAATTAAATCATAATGCAAACCCACTCTATACCCTCCTTCTCAAACAGTCCACCTACGTCACCCATATGGATTCAACCCCTCCATGTACCATGGACACGTTAGGTACACACGTCTGGAAAAGTTGAGACAGGTAGGTACAGTCGATGATATGGAAAAACTGTTAAACATGTATATATGTATACATACATATTACATAACAACACAGTGTGATATCAGGATATTTAATAAATAATAACTATGTTACTGACTTCTGCTGTTATGTTGAAATAAAATGTCTCGTCATATTAATTTTATTAAAGTCTCCTCATATATCATCAGTGTGATATTTAAATATTTACTAACCTATATTCATAATGTCATCGCGTGTCTTTATCCAGTAGATAAAATCAATAATTTTATCATTTATTCCGAGAATTATGGATGTTAATGATAAAAGGGATAAAATACTAAAATAATCCTATGAATAATTTGAAATGGTACACTCTCGATAGGTTCATATTTCATACCCTTTTTCCCAAATGTACGAGTGGGATCTGAATTTCATGTGCGATATTAACCACATTATAATTATACACGTTGCTACCCCAGAGTATATAAAATCGTAGTGTTTTCAAATATTTTTATTAATCACAATATCGCAATATTATATATCTGTCATGTGCAATTATTACATATAATAAAATAAATTGCAATTGTCTACGAATTCTAACGCACCAATGAGAATCCTACGTTGACTGTGAACTATGGGCTATGTAATTCCATGCGTAAGAATCCAAGATATTCGCTGGTTTTAATTTATTGCGATCCTTCTGCCTTACCATGGAAGTTTGACCTAAAGCCAACTCTTTTGTTCGAGAACGGGAGCAAATGAATGCCGAAAGAATTTCGTCTAGTCGCTTTGCATATGTTGAATATGTAAATGAAGCTCGAGGTGATGTCTCCGAGCATTGAGAGATATCGAAAAACTTTCTACTGACCATCGAGATAGAAGATGCAGGAGGACTTTCAGGATCATTTCTTATATTATTAAAACAGCGAACGTTCTTATCGCATTTTCATAAATTAAAGTTTGATCTTTTAATTTATAACGTAAGCTGCCTGCAATGGCGGCGTGCTGTACATTGGCATTTAATTAGTGAATTCCTGACATCGTTCTTTGCGCTTATATACAGGCACATTGTTATGCAAACCCCGCGACGAACCTAAGTCAGGAAATACGGAAAATTAAAGAGTTATTACAACGAGATATGGAATTTTACAAGCGACATCATTTACATTTTGTATTTTACAGACACCAATGTGTACTAGCAATAAGATTAACATTTCAATTAAACGAGTATAAAATGAAAAAAGGGTGAACAAATTTTTTTGTAAAAAATAATTTCTTATCGAATATAAAGACTGATTTAATTCTTACACTGTAATACGATTACGATCGAAATTCCTTTATATTGTTCAAGAGCGTAATTTAACTTATAGACCTATTGAAAAAAACGGCGGTTTTATGGTTCAACGTATAAAAAGCTAACGTGAATAGGCACGAAGCCTCGCCGGTTTATAAATAGCACTCTATTGGCGAAGATGTGCAAAATCAATTCTGCACAGGATGTGCTGGGAATACAGCGGCGTTCGGTATAAATATACAAGACCGTGAACGTCTACTTACGTAGATGCTATCTCGAAAATGAAATAAAATCGGTATTAAATTAGTTATAGATTTTCCTCACGCTATTTCAATACTACGAGTTAAAAAAAGTGCACGATATTTATATGCACGAATTTGAGAGTAAACGTTAACTACTTTCAAGATCAATTTATTTATCACAAAGGCAACGAACGAGCAACCCCTTTTCTGGCATTCATAAGTATGGGTTTCACCCTTGTATCACACCCATGACTTTTCGTCACCCCAAACAAAATTGTCAGCCTGTAGCCTATGCTATGGGGACTACGACTGCAGATGAAATAGTTTGGCCTAGACCGTCCTGATACGATAGGGGTTGTTGCGTAGGATTTCTCGTATCTCTCAGACGGGTATACGAGGGGTACGACACATCTCATGTATCTTACATTATATGAGTATGAATTAAATGTATCCAATCCCTCGAGAACAATTTCCTTTGCTGATATAAGTGTAATTGAATTACATTGTAATCGAAAGGACACCCGTCATGCGCAACACTCATTTTTTCCTCATATGTCGAACTGTCTCCACCAGTTTCACGTGGAAATATCGTAATAAATTATGGGGAGAAAGGATTGATATTTCTTTAAGATAGCAAAGTCAAATTTACAGTAGAAATGAAACTTTTCTTTGACAATGATGGATGTGAAAGAACTGTTGTTATCATTTATGAAAGGCTATAAGTAGCTCTGTCTCTGTTTGTAAACGTACAGAGATTATTCGAATTGCCAATGGAAATATGAAATTCGTATTGACTTTCTATGGATGTTTTAATAATTCATTACACCGAATAAATGCGAGTAGCTCAGCCATTAGAAGAGTTTTCGATCAAATCGGAATCCGTAATCCAGGACGGTTGTTTGCGGCTGTGGTCCGCGTAATCAGATTAATCCGCTTATCCTTTGATTGATTGGATATCGTCCGCGTGACGTCATGGCGATCCATCACCGATCAACCAATCAGGATGCGCTAATAAACATGGATAATGAAATGCTCGAAGGATTAAAACTTGGTCGTTTGCCAGAAAAGTAGCTAAGGGATTTATTCGTGGTACGTACGTATACACGTGTATGCTGCATTGCAACGTGGAGATTGGCGAATATGCGAAAAATTCGTTTGCCGTTTGCATACAGTGGAATTAAATGGAAACAAAAAGAAAGAGAGCATAAAACGAAGAAGGTAACGAGCGGGGTAGTTCAAACCGATGGAAATTTTTCCTGAGGGAAAATTGTCGAAAACAGAACGAAAAAATTCGTAATAACTGAAACGATGTATTTGTAAAAAAAAATGCAAAAAAAAAAAAAGCGAATGAACTTGCTCGTCGAATAGTATGCGTTACTTTTGTACAGATCGATGGAAACGAAATTGTGCAGGATTGAAATTTTCTCGAAATAATTCTCCATCCTTTACGATACTATCGGATTAACGTCGCATGAGAATGGTTTGATATTTTCTGTCAGAGATTACTTTATGAAGCTAACGGTGCAAAGGGTGGAAACGTCGAGATGGGGTGGTAATATCGGAGCCCGGTAACGGAGTTAGATCATCCCGTGACAGGAGGGACAAGTAATTGCCAGAGATGCCACCCTTTATAGATTAATAAACGGTCCGTTGCCAGGGAAAATGACAAAGTCAGATTCCATTCCGAGCTATCTTGAGTGGGTGATTAAGTTATCATCACTAATCGCTTTAACGAAAAAGTCAAATGGCTTATTGTTTAAGGAAAACAATGGTTCGGGTTGCGAGGATAATATTTCTCTGTTCAACCGCAATGAGTTCTTGAGAAATAAATTTATCGTCTTAACGATAGTGATAAAATATATTATTTACATGGCTATCAGTTGATTGGCCGTAAGAAGTAATTATAACAATATCCCCAAGTGCAAATATTCGCTCTGTGTAATTCAGAAGTTACAAAGAAAAGAAACAAGCAATAAATAAGAAAAAGCTTTGTACTTTACAATCGTTCATCTTTCTTTTTTTTTTTTACATGCTGTAAATCATTTAATTTGTCTACAATAATCAATACCTATTAACACGTGATTCAGGAATGACTGGGCAAAATATTTTCAAAAATAAGTAATAATACATTTCGCTTATGGTGAAGGTCAAATATAAATATTGCTCAGTTGTCATTTCTGAAATATATTTACAACGTTCCTTAATGGGACAAACATATTACATAAGCTAACATTATCTTCGCTTCATCAACAGTCATATTTACGAAGCTCTTCGCGGCTACCTGAGTATCTGCGGACTAATAAAATTCTTGAACAGCCAATAAATATGTGACAGAGAGTTGTTGTACGTAGTCTAATGTACGTATATTTGTATGCACGACATTTATTTTCGTATACGCCAAGAAGCAGTTATCATTGACAGAACGGCCTTTTCTCCTCGACGGGGATTCCTTGAGTCGTACCTTGCGTAATGCAAAGCCATAGGACACATACCACTCACCTATGGCACGATGACAAATCCATTCTCTACATACGAGCAGAGTCTTTGTTATTCTATGTAACTTGGCGGTCATCCCACGTGGCAATACGATATTTATCAATAATCTTACGTGGTACTTTCCTATGGCTTATTAACATAAGTATCCACAGAATCGGTTGAATCAGTCGACATATCTTTAATACGATAAGATGATTCAAGCACGCTAAAAGTATACCGAAGAACCACGGCGCACCCATTAGCAAATACAGTCTGAGAACAAGAAAATATCTTTTCCTTAGCATATTTGTTTGGTTATTGGTAACCATTTTGGTGCTCTTTTGTATGCTAATTATCTTAAAAGTAGTAAATCCGAAAAGGATGTTATTTAAAAATAACGTGATCAATGGTATACCAAAGAAATATAAATTGACAGTGTAATTAGGTCCTTTTCGAAAATCTAAGTAATTAACTTTAAGAGGAAAGTCGTTTGGTATATCTGGAATGTATTCCAAAGCGCCGGCTATCGCAGTGGGTATAAATGCGCCGCCCCATGCAACAGCCGATTACATAACAAATTTTCTATACTCTGTACGTTCATTCTTTTCACTGGAACCAGGCGTCCATCTGAATCTTGTTATAACCGTCGTCATGTCAAAGCATATAACGTTCAACCAAAAGACTGATGCCAGAGTGAAGAAATGGAGAAGTAGCCACAACGAGATGATAACATGATTATTTAGATTACAATGACAAAGATCACAGCATCCCAACAGGATCAACATAGTTCCCATTGTTAAAAGAGATGCATTGTGACTCAATATAGCACGATTGTATACTGTGTTCTGCCCGAATTCCGATACTACCATCTGTGTCAGAAGCACAATTAGACACAAAAAAACGTTGGCAATGTTGGCCGGCATGTATGTTTTTGCACCCCAAAAGACAACAGTAGCCAATCCGTCGTAGAATAATATTCTACAATCTTTATACTTTGGACATATCGCTATCACTTTAGTGTCACTTGTTAAATTTTCCACGCAACAGTTATTCTGTGCAAAGTCAGCGAGGTACGTATAGTTTGAAGTATAGTTCATTATCGTAGGCTCCAGATTGTCTGGACACTCGTAAATTTGCGGTTGCTCTTTGGGGAATTAATTTTCTTTGTGATATTTATTTTCTATACCTGATTTCACTGGTGTGCACTTGTACTGTTCGTTAAAACTATAACCAGAACTACAACACTTTCTTTTTATATCTATACTATGATAATAATTAACTTCACTTTGCGTGAGTGACAGCAGAGCCAAGAGAATCGTGATTTGCGAGATTATCCAAAGTGCGTGCATCTTGATTGATCCACCGTGTAATACTGTCGGTCCTTCAATGATCGTCACGTTGTGAATAGCAGTATCGTATGTGTATTCGCATTCTTTCGTTCTGTAATAAACACTATCGTTATTAATTCTACGGATCGTTGTGAAGTTTCTAATAAGTAAAGTAATGGCAAATTCTCATAAAATCGGATGTCATAAACCGCATGGTTCCGGAGATTTCTCGTAGGAAAAAAAACGTATCCACTTCCTATGATGGATTACGCAATGCACTTTTCCTACTAGATTGACGGTTCTTTTGTGCTGTAATATCTGTGCATGTGATATTGAAGTGTAACGTAGAAAAACGCAAAAAAAGAATTATCCATAATTCATATATAGAAAAAGAGTATTACGATTTTTCTGAAATAAAACCTGTAGCATGCACTCACTAACTGTTAATATTATATTGTATGTAGGAAAAATATTAGTAAAATTCGTTCGATTCCTGAATTTTTTTGGGCACTTCGTCACATCACGGAAAAAAAAAAGAGGATTATAATTACTAGTCCGATTAGCAGTGAATTCTACATAGGATAGAAAATGAACGATGAACGCAGTAGAATAGTACAATTTATTCAGAAGACTGTAATCATTACTGTTCTCTTTTCTTCACGTTAAAAATAAATGGAATAAGTTGCGTGTATTGTCACTCAACTTTTCTTTATATAGATACACATTGTTATGCCAACTTGATAACATAAAATTTTCCCACTTCTTCACGACGTTGTCGTGCAATATATATTGCAGGAAATTCCAATTGTGGGCGACGCGTTTCTTTCTGGTATTTCCATCTTGTGTCTTTATCCTCCACACAGTCATCGAACTAGAACTTGTCGAGACAGAAGACAATATCGTTGCTACTGTAATTCATTCTTAGTGACTGTTGATGGTCTGTCCAGGACATCAGCGTAATCTCAGAAAATGATATATAGTGATCCGAGCGTGTGCCAAGTATACGAATGTGTTTGAACCGTGGATCTTTCATGCGTCACACACGATCTCCAGAGACTTTATAGCTAACCAGGCATAACAGGTTGCTTCGAGTAGTCCCTGAATTTCCAAGATGTTATGTGCACATATTATCATTCCGGAATACATTGAATATGGTTAAAGTGGAGGGAGACATCGTTGATACTCACTTCAACTTTAGCTGCTCTCACGTTGAGAAGTCCTTAAGAATGTTTTCCATTAGTATTTTTACGATTCTGGTGATCGCGACGAACAGCGAATCTGTGAATTTCTTGACAAAGTGCTGCGACATTGATCATGTATTTAACGACAATTATGATTGTGTATATCGTGAAAATCAAAACCAAACGCTTTTTCATGCATTGAACGTGACCGATATTAGCAGCATATCTTACAACGTATGTTTTGCAAGTAAGTAATGCATTATTGCGTTGTTTATAAGACGCAGCTATTCAAACTTCGTTTTTTATTTATCTTTTGACACCAAGAAATTTTGTGTAGGCGTGTTCGCACGGAATATGCACAAATATTTTATTTTACTTGGTAAAGAAACTTTGATTATTTTACCAGTCTAGATGATAAGTGAAAGTTGATGAATGATGGCTTTTATTGCCCGGACCTATGGGACTCCTTCAAAGTGGACCACATCTCTGTATACATTTATCTTACGACTCTGGAAACGCTCGCTCTTCGCCCGAAGATCGACGCCAATTTCCGATTTCATAATAAAGCATCCTCGCGATTTATTCTTATACCGACGAGATGGGAATTTTTTTTTTTTTTTTTTTTTTTTTTTTTTTTTTTTTTTTTTTTTGTATACAGCCTGTCTAAAGTATAATAACTGCAACATTTTTTACTATTCTGACAGATAGCACAGAAGACAACTGGACGCAAGATGGCAACATAAATATTACCTGGACCGGGAACACGTGTTTGGAGATCTTGGCGAACGGTACAGTGATCTCACGAAATTGTTCAAGAGCCATGTATAACGGGATGGACCAATGTGACAGCATCTTTACACCGTTAAAATTTTGGGGCGCTAGTATAGTGGTGTTTGCGAATATAATATACGTGTTTCCATATTTGATAGTCGTAATTTTTTACTTTGCAATTTCTGATCTTCGTCATCGTGCTTATGACAAAGCTGTATTGTGCTATAACGGCAGTCAATTAGTAATTGCTTTGATACTACTTGGCATGGGACTCGTAATTTTATGTCATAAATCAATAAATTCAATGTTACTCGTTCTGTTCGGTCTGAGCTTAATGTTTCTCACGATATCCTCGGTATTCTGGCTATTCTTCATTTGCTTCGACATGACTTTGGTAATTACTAGATTTCGCTGGATGCCATCGGCCGATCCACAGGGTACGGAGGAGGCACGGAAATTTCGCATTTATTCGGCATTTGCTTGGGGCGGAGCTTTTGTGCCGACTGCGTTTGCTTGCTTCATGGAACTGTTACCAATTGTTCCGAAACATTCACCGTTAAGGCCAGATTTCGAAAGATTCGACGACGGTGCTAATCTCGGGGTTATTGTTTACGTTACCACATTACCCGTTATAATGTGCGTTATGAACAATGTCCTTTTCGTTTACACAACGTATAAGATCATACGTATACGTAAGACGACGGCGGTGGCCAATGAAAATGTATCGAGGAACGCAAAAAAAAAGTACTTCGTTTTCCTCAGGTTGTACTTACTGATGGATGCTCCATGGATAATTGGTGTATTGGCAGCTATTTATACGGATTTATGGGTCTTGAAATTCTGCAGGATGATTCAGCCAATTCTTATGTTGCTTGCGATTTTGCCAAAAAAGATATTAATCAATGCTTTCCGCTGTAACAAAGAAAAACAAAATATAAAGAATGGAAGTCGGAAAATTTAAAAAGGTGTTGTTGTGCACTGTTAAAATTATAAGGGTAGATAAGTATAATACGCCACTCGCGCCAATGAAAATATATATTAAGCATTAATCCATTTTTTCATAATTTCATGTCTTATTAATATTTGGTAAGAATTATAAATATATGTATATTTATATCGGAAAGAAAAATCGTCGCATCCTATCGCTTTGTACTACTACGACTGATAAATATAATTAATTAAGGATTTTATCATTTACTAAATGTCAATTTATTTTTTCTATAGTAAACTGGACAAATTTTCATACTTAATCGCCTCAGAGAACATTCGTAAAATACTTGTACTAGAAGTAACTGTGGCCGGCGAAGGAAAGTTTAAATCCACATTGTACTAAGTGATTTCTCAGATGATAATAGTCATACTGCGTTTCTATGTAAGGTTATTAATTACATTAAATATACATTGAAGTTCTAGTACGTTAAAATTTTGTACAACTGAAATATATCTTCGGCTACGAATACAATAATCGTTAAGCCATTGTAAGATCGTCGAAAATCAATGGCGGCGTTAAGATATAGCCAGTCCCGTTGTCCCTGAGCAAATTTAAACGAAATGGTATTGCTCCGGATGAAAAATGACGTAATTAACCTAACCCCAGTTTCGGTTGTCCTGGAACTTCTTAAATAATCCCTCGATATGAATCTGGGTGATGGGTATGTGCGCCATTGCCTGATGAGGGCTGAACGAAAGAGAACTTTCTATCTTAACTGAAAAAGAAGAAGAAGAAGAAAAGGGAATGGGAGGCAGGGAAATGCGTAGCTTTTGAGAGGTTAGGGAGCCTGGGAGAAAATTGAAAATCGAATCAGTGGGCAAATCGGATTACCCCTGGAGCTTCGACTCCGACTGCGACTCCCATGCTTCTTTGCAGTAAAGCATGCTGAGCTGCGTCTGTACGTGGTTGTCATTGGCTCTTGGAAGGTACGTTGCACCATCTATTATCAGAATGGGAAAACAAGTCTGAAATAAAATCAATTATGATTATCGAACAGGTTTAACAGATTTTTTTGATCCTTCCGTTGGAGTATTTTTCGTGACCAAACATCGTGGAAACATTTTGAGGTTAGCAACAGACACTTGTTGTATTTTATTTAAAAAAAATGTGTTTGAAAAAAAAAAATGATTATATTTTTCGTAGTTAATATTTTGATAATGTCAATTCTTTTTTTTAAATAAGTATATAATAGCACGAGGTCTTGATCAGAACGTCAATGGTTACACACTTCATAAGGTACTTCATCAATTTGTAACCCACTGATCCGAATATTCAAATTCTCCCGCCTAATCCTACGAAAATTAAGGGCCGAGCTTTCGCACCTTCTCTTTCATTCCTTTTCATTCTTATTGCCACTTTTCCCTCCTTCTCGTCTAAAAGGTTCTGCCTAAATTACTTCCTGGGTCTCCTCCAATCTATCATCTTCAGCGGGACCAGTGGCTTTTCCTAAAATAACCTTTTATTTTCTTTTCTTTCCTCGTGCCATCCCTCGCCGCGCTACGAGCTATGCGGTCCGCAGGCTGCTTTTCCAGGATGGCGTCTAAGGAAATGACGTGATAATAATTTCATGGTTCCTTCTCCCGTCCAAAGTGACGTACGATAAATATATTGCAGGAGCCCATTCCCTTGTGGCACTTTATATCTCGATTATGGAAAGTCTATCGTAAAAATCACATTTTCCGAGCTCCTCATGTCGTTGCACTATATGCTGCGCATCCCATGCATTGTCCCGTAATGCAATTATCTTCCGCATCAAAAAATACACTCTACCTTATACCCTCGCCGGAATTGCTAAATCCAACGGCTTTGAAATGATGCGGTACTGTGTGCGTATAAAAAATTTACATTTTTAGAAATGGACGTTTACAGGATTGTCGAGAAATACAAGTTTTATCTGTCGTAAATATTCAAGATTTCAACCTGAAACACACCGAAAAGCTCCTATCTCTCTTGAAGCTCTCACCTTAATGTTAACAAGGACCATGAGTTGGGCGCCCTCGAAGCAGCTACCGGAAAATTAAAGAGAGCCAACTTTCCGGAGAGTGAAGAGGGCCTATATCTTTACCCTGTTAATATTCATAACTGAAAGAAGGTAGACAATTAATTTCTGTTTTTTCTAAGGAGCTGCTGAATGTTCGAGTTTTATTATAGGTCGCGGAATGGGATATTTTTTCGAAAACTGCATAATTTTCATGTTCATTATCGTACCCAGTACATAATTAAAACTTTTTTATTACTCATTTTCATAATTATAGACGAAGGTACAAGGAGTTTGTAAGAAACTTATGTTTATATTTTTGTCAAGAAGTGACGTATCAGCTACTCCGATTATACCGTTATACATAGATTGATTGGCTTATTTATATCACTGATGATATTCAAATAAAACAATAATATAAATGTCCACCGAATCATTTTCAGTTCATTCTAGAATAAATTGCGAAACATTAAATATATATATGTATGTTATTTGGGCTCCAAATGAAAATCCATCGTAAAGTTTCCTAAGGATACTTCGACCTTGTTAAATCCAAAAGTTGGGCGTGATTGCTTGTCCTGTTTTCCCGTATCAGTAAAGTAAAAAGTCAAATTAATTTGCCATTTATCAGTCGATCCTTCTCGTTCGAGCGACAGCTCAGAAATGTAGGAGCAATTCGTCTTTATTTCCGAAGGAAACGAGGGGGCGTCGATTTGTAATTAGATGAAGAAATCTGTAGGGTCCTGGGATCGTTCCATGAAATCCCAGCGCTAGGAAACGTTACGGAAATTTAAGAAATTCGCATTCAGCATTTACAGTAAATACTTATTTAATACTTAACAATATATCAATATAGTGAATAGTATCAGTTCGATGTCTTACGTGATAAGAAAAAAATGTAAGGAATTCCCATTACTCTATACCTTATAATCCAGGTTGAAATGCGATGCTGTAAAGTAGGACTTTTTCCATTATTTTTTTCCTTCCTCTTCCTTGCACCCCCAAGACGGAAGTGACGTATGTGGAGCTATGTGCCTAGGGACATGAGTCGTTTCTAACCTCTATGTTAGCATATTACCCTCATTTATACCCCACCAGATAAGAGTTTTTTCTCCTATGTATTATGGGTCCACATATGCCACAACGCATACGAATTTAATACGTCACAGTAGGATAAAATGTGTAAAAAGTTATGCAATCTAAAACGTGCAATACGTTGAACGATATTACCGAATGTGGTATTTTAATTTTTTTCATAAAAATTGATCAAGATAAGATAGGCTGTATTTACTTGAATAAATGTATAAGGTAAAACTGGGTAAGTCAGGATCGAACTGGGTGTAACGATCCCAGAGGATCATGAGATGGATCATCGCATCTTGTGCTATCTCCGCTTACATGTATTCTACCCATTTTTCACGGGCATAGGACATATTAAAGATACTGCGCGATAAACGATCCTGCTAAGGACGAGGGTAAGAGAAAAAATATGATCCAACGCAGTAGGCACCTCGCTATTTTTCACATAGTGCGAGATAATTAATTGCTCCAGGTTCGGACGGTGGGTTCATGTCTCTTACGGTGCAGTAAATCAAGCCAAAAATGATGATCTCGAGGTTCGTATGGGGAATAATGCAAGTGAAACGAAGATACATTTATTGGGTATGACGATTGGCGCGCGAAAGATCAAGAGAAACAAATAAATAAAAGAACAGAACGGCGAGAGAGCAATAATTATTTCCGTCGTAAATTTACATTTGGACAAGCGACGTTTTTATTGGAATTTAAATTTGTCCTGCCTTATCCCATTTCGCTGCAGAGGGAAAGAAAACGCTCGGATTTATTTTGGGTCTAATAGCTATAAGGTATTCATCTCAATTCGTTTGCCTAGGGGATAATTTGAAAGTATTCAATCTGGTTCGAACTTAAAGAAAATAAAGTAGGAAGCTGTAACAAATGTTATTTTAAACGAAATCTGTGACAAGACCCTTCGAAGTAAAATATACCCTTTGATTTTGTAGGTTAAGGTTCATTTGAAATCTCAACGTTCATTCTTTGTATTTATTCACTTTTTTTTTGTATCTATCTACTTTCTTCTCCTTCTTACGGATAAACGTAAACTCCAATCCGCGATCTTGTTCTTATTCTTCGACGATAAATTCGCATTGTGCTTCAACGCCGCTCGATCCGTTCGTTTAGTATTCACTGCAAGGGACAGCAGTAGGAGCATCGTCTACGTCTACGTAACACAATGGTGAGACAACGAACCGAAAGAATAACCCACCCAGAACACAACGCACTCTGCATGCAGAAGCACCAAACTGCGCTTCGCAAAAATGAACTCATACGTGCGCGAAACAGAGAACAAGGGTTGAGCATATATATTTTAAAAATCTTTTTTGTCTTTGAATTTAGAGCAAACTTTTTTTTGGATACCTCGTGGATACTTGATGGAAATAACAAAATTTTTACCTCTGTGTTATGTCAAATACTATAGACGAAATGCATTGTCATTTGCTTTTCTATATATAGGTATACTTTTCGTACCATTGCAAGCTTTAATTGTCTTCTTATACGAATTCCGTAAGTGCTCATCACGTAAATATCCTGATTCACACTCCCTTCGTGTTTTCACACATTTTGAATGAGCTTTCCACTTTTTACCCTATTTTTCCATTTTCCTAGGGTTTCTCGCCTTCGCAAAGAACACGGCGCTCGAGTACGTCAGCCCCAGCGATTCTGAAACGTACGACGTACTGGGCTGCGAAGGGGGCTGTGCAAATCCGTCACCCGGGAGACGTTTACTTCATTTCCTATTCCCGGACGAGCAGTTTCATTCCGTCGTCTTTCAAATGCATTCGCTGCAACCAGCCCCTTAGCGCAGTTGACTGAATCGAGTCGATCCGAAAAATTTAATCGGCGTACCAATTTTAAATATTTTGCAATAAGCTTCAGTGATTCGTGTTTTTGTTCTTTCCTGAATCAGTATTATTTCAGAAAATGAATATTATTGAATATTCGTTTTTTGACCCGAAAAAACAAACTGTATTTTTTCATAATACGATAGTACTACAATTTTTTATATTTAAAGTTTACAATTGGAGTTGTTCGAATTGTAGTCTGACATTTTTTGCAGTCAGATCATATAGGGGGTAGTCTGTTGTAGAGAATATAAAAAGCTGTTAATGGGCTTTTTCGTCCTACTATGTCATAAGCGTCAAACGCTTG